TGTTGAGAATTAATGACTAACTCACTGCCCTTTTAAGATCTTGTTGTTGATGGACTTTGGACAAAGAACTCAATGATGGATGAGTCTTACACACACACACAGAAATTAACCAAGCACAAATGACACAAGTGTTTATAGAGGTTCAGCAAATTGCCTACATCCTCTTTGGTGATCACCTTGAGAAATTTCACTAATGAAGATAGGTTACAACTTTGGTTTACAAAGGAAACCCCCTTAGAACACTACCCTCACAATCTGTTTCTCTCACACCCTTGCTCAACACCTTGATACACTTAGAGAACTCTCTTGCTCTCACCTTAGTTTTTCTGAACACACAACTTAAAACTTCAGCTCTAACTCAACTTGGAATACCAGCTTCTTCCACTTACAATTATTCAACTTGTTTTCTCCTCTTGTGTTATCTTACTTCACCCCATTTCCTACACAAGCCAATAGACAAGAGATAAGATATCAGCTTGTCCTCCACGTTCTTCCCTTTAGTCACCACTTAGACTAAATGTCAGATCAAGTAGGTAAATAGAATCCAACTCAGCCACCTCCCACTTACACCAGAAAATGGAGAGTGATATCTTTGAAATAAGATAACCAATTAGCCATGAGTGCTCTCCCAACTATCCAGCAGGTAGTCAACGTTCATTTAACTCAGAAGTGACCCACTAAGCCTCTGAAATCTTGTGGAAAGCGATAGCCATTGAAAACACTGTTGAAAACGCGTAAGAAATCGTCACAGCACGACTGCTGGCGACCGGTCGCTTTTGGTTTTTCCTCCAGACCTTGAATCTGCTTCTAAACGACCGGTCGCAAATGTTAAGCGACCGGTCGCTAGCTTCCTGCGACCGGTCGCAAAGAACTGGCGACCGGTCGCTCGTTGATGTTGCTCCAGACTTCGAATCTGCTTCAAAACGACCGGTCGCAAATGCCTAGCGACCGGTCGCTTTTAGGCAGATTCAAAATCTTCCTTTCAGCGCCAAAACCAACCTTGTATCCTTAGGTGAGCCATTTTCCCAACAATTATTATGTCTCAAGTGGGGGAGCTCCATGGGTTGATTGGAAGTGTTGGCTTGCCATTTCTAGCATGCAAGAAGCTGGAATTGGTCTAATGCCTTGCTCCCTTGTTATAAATGACAACGGGCAAACATTTGTAATCAAGTAAAGACAGAGAACAGAAGATCACATGCATGTGATCACAGGGGGGTTGAGAGATCACAGGCATGTGAGGCTAGAGACTAGAGAATGCCCTGTGATTCATGCATGAGCAGTCTGTCAGGAGGATCTCCTGTACCTTTTGTCTTTCTACCCTCGCATTTCCTTCTAAGGGGCAAACAAATTGATTTTCTCCCATTTAAGGGAATGCTCTGCAGGTGGACTCTTTTACAATTTATTTGCCACAAGTTTCTTTGATGTGCATTGTATTGCAGACAGCGGAATTTAGCATTGAGATGTGATGTGATGCGTCTTTTGGTGGTAGTTTTGGTACTGAATTCTTCTCTAAATGCAGGATTCCTTGATCTAACTGGTGACAAAAAGCTTGCTTGGAGTAGCTGTTATAACCGTCCTAATAACCTTGGTTCTGAGGGATCCTCCACAGTGGGTCCAAATTGAACATTTCTGGTGGGAATTTTCCTCCGTGGATCATTTCTCTGGTGGTAAGAGTTTTTACTCGAATGAGGAAGAGAACCAGAGATTAATTTGCTGAAAAAGTATGGTTGGTTGAAAGGCGCCATTGATGCTTTCCCTTGTAATAAGGCCTTTTTGTTTCTCAAATTTTGTTAAAAAGAATTTGATTCATTATCAATTGAATTTTGACGATAAAGCAAGTGACGCTCATCTGGACGTCGTCATAGCTGTAATTGACGACAAGCTGAACTGAAAGATAAATTGATTAGCAACGCACTTAAATTGGGTCTAAAATACCAAACCTTGGAAACAACATTCCTAAGATCATCTTGTTGCAGCATTAAGATTTGGAACAATAGATTAATAAATAGGCCATTATCAACCGATGATGCATACAGACGGTCAATTAACTGGTTTATAAATCGTTACATTATTTTTCAATTTTTTTTTCTATGTATATAGTGGTATTGTGAAATATGTTTCTGCTACTTGATGCCTTAAATGCCTTTAGCTTATAGGACTTAATAAAATAACATAATTAGTGCTAGCTTTTTTGTTCTCTTGGTAGTTTGATTCAAGTACATGTTAGCTAAATCTGCCTCAATCTTTAATGTTTGAAGTTTTATGCTCTTCCACAATACAATCCTATTTGGATCTCTATTTTGGTTCTTAGTTGTGTATGTATATATATATATATATATATATATATATAAAAGACAATGGCATTAAAATCATTGTCAACTTTTGGATCCATAAAAAATAACATTTTTTTCATTGGATGGAAAATCATAACTGCTGGTTTGAATTACGTTGGATGTTTGTTCGGCTCTCAGTTGTGCAATTGGGCTGTGTTTGTTGCACACTGCCTTTTAGCCTGGTTGTACGTATATTTGCTTGTGTTAGTGAGTTTTCAAAGGTTTGCGAAAACAGAGGGGTTAGTATGTTCTGTATAATTAGTTTCAAGAAAAACTTTCTTTTTGTCCACTCACGCTTTTACTGTTTTACGCCCCCAAGAATTAGATAGCTCAGAGTTCCAAATAAACATCGGTGAAGTCCTTATAGTTATACCTAGGAAACTTTATTTTCCGTTTTCATTTATTTGGAAACTAACTCTGTAAATGTAACTCTAGTAGTTGCTATGATATTTCCCACTTAGGACTGAATTTAAGACCGGAGGTCATGTGAAACTTGTGTGTGCTGCCAGTTGGGATGATTAGACTGTCGTTATTTGCAGGTGTTAATTTGGGAATAGTCCATTTTACATAGGAGACTTTGCCGAAATTTCGGTAGAAGTCTCGACCCTTTTTTTCTCTTAAAAGTATGGGTGAGAGGTGTAAAGTTAGTAGTGGGTCTGGCATCGTTCGGGTGCCGGTCGGGTAACAGGATTCCACATGAGTTCTAATTCTAAAGGAGAATTCGGGTTGGGTCCTGTCAAAGTAGGAATTTACAGATTTTGCGTCCGAGCTCCGATTGGGGCATATGATACCTTTCCGAAAAGGGAACGATGCCACGAGTCAAACACACTCCTTTCTGTGACATAAGGTGGATTTTGGGCTTTCGAGGTCGTTTAGGCTTCCAAAACAACGTTTAAAAGTTGTAGTTAATTTTCGGCTTTTGGTTTTTTTTTTAATTACTGTTTATCTCAGTTTTTTTGTTCGATTATAGAAAGGTTGTCAATTACTATATTTCAATTTCCTATCCAGTGATTCAATGAACAATTATTATACAGTCATATATAGATATTTCAGAAGAAAAACAAGCATAAACCCTAGTAACAAGAAAAACATGATGAAGAAAAATCATGGAAAAAGAAAACCTAACGAGGTATTGATTAAAGAAAAAATAGAAAGCATACCTTCACAGATGGAGGGAGGTTGTTCATCTTTTGTTGCAGAGAGAAAAGTTAGGGCGAGAGAAAAACTAGTGTCTATGAAATACTTGGGGGGGAGGTTTGATTTATTATGGTCTTTGTTATTTATAGCTCTCACCTTAAAACCTACAAAAATTTAACACTTAATGAAATCCTTCCAAATATATGACCTTTTGAATACACCTAGATTTGATTCAACTTTTTTATTATCCTAATTGAATACACCCATATTTGAATGGACTTTTTAAAAGTTCATACAAGTCGGAATTGAATACACCCAGACTTGTAAAACCTCTTTTAAAGTTCGTATAAATCCAAATTGAATATATCCGGATTTTAAATTTTTTTTTAAACACTTTATAATCCTAATTGAATACACCCCCTTAATTTTTTGTGACTTTAATATACACTATAGCATATGTAGTAATGTCAGTCTTCTTATAGCTCCAAAATGATTTCCCAAGCGTGAAAATGCTATCCTCTGCTTTCGTGGAAATGTGAGTACATACATTCTGACTAGATTGACACCTACTACTCATTCATAAATCATGTGGTACCTCATAAATCCAGTTCTCTAAATATTTTTAAAAAAAGTTGTTTTAGTTTGTTTATTTCAAGATACAACTAGCACTGCCCAATTCTACTCAACATATTGACCACTGTGAAAAATTGTCGTCTCAGACGATGCTCACTTATACGACGGTTTAATGAACCTCTAAGAATTCCATTATGTTATATAAGGTAATTTAAAACTCAGATATGCTAATATAAGAGAAGATTGCATAATTGAAGGAGATTGCACAAACTATCAAGGAGATGAAGTGAAGCAGACAAAGTAGGAATCCCGACAAAGCAATTGATCGGTTGTAGATATGATCAATTCTCAATGCCAAGCTTATGATTGAAAATTCTTGTTGGCTTATTCCATCCTGCACACAACAGAATAGAGCAGTTGAAATAGTCACGTAAGTTGTGTCAATAAGAATCAAACCATTATAACAAAGCTAGGTCTAATGAGCTTGTAGCTATTCAGGTGCAAATTTCATGCGAACCTGGCCAATAAGCACGCAACTACTTTTGATCAGCTCCAAATCCTGTATCAAGACCCCAAATTTGAGTTGACTACTTTTGATTAGCTAGGTCTAATAATAAACAATTCAGTCTTTCTGAACATACTTATTGATTGCAGAATGTAATTACTTATTGATTTGCAGTATGTTAATAGATACTTTGTTCAAATGCATAAAATATGCAGCTCTTGCATACATGTATACATGTATATACTACATGAGTTGATCAAATGCTCTGCAGTAGTTTAAACAGAAATGTATTCATGACAAAAGCACATGAAGAGAGAGAGAGAGAAAATTGTCATCCACGAAACAATAAGTGATGAATCTAATGGTAAATGTATGGCTAGAAAAGATAGTGGTGGGAACTTACTAATACCAATTGTGAGAAGACCGTCATTAGCTTTTCAAGTATTTATGTGCATACATTTGAGGAGGCGTTTTTAACAAAGGTCGCAAAAATTTAGCTGCTCTTTTAGGAATCACAGTTTTTATTAAACTTTTCAACAATAGCGAAAAATAAGAGGGTGCAAGGCCTAAGTGGGAAATCAAAGTGGTAACCCACCAAATCAAAAGTCCTATGCAGCCCCATTGTTTGCTATTGTTGAAAGATTTCATAAAAACTGCAGTTGTTAAAAAGAGGGAGAAAATCTTTACAAGTTCTGTTAAAAACCATTTGGAAAGAGCATAGCTTTTGCGGCAGAGAGATTTTTGGTGAGAGCTTCCACTTGCACTTCCACTTGTATCAGCTGAATTGTGAGGAGAAGTAGCTTTTGTGCTGATGTTGATGGAGTAGTTCATCATCATGATTTGGTCGAGTCCTTTCACGTCTTGCTTGCGCATCAAACGGAACCCACACTTCTTTATACCCGAGCAATATATTCTGTCTGAGAGCTTAGAAAAAAAGTCATACATATGGAATGAAATCTTCATTATTTGACTCCATTCTCTGACGAGTACATAATGATATACACAAGATACCCAAAGGTGAGGTGACACAAGATGGCCTTTATCAATGGGTTTACTTTTCACAGGGGCACCTTCTCCTGGGCGACATTCAATTTGAAAATGGGTAGAAGCGTCATGAGGTGGATTTTCAAAGACAGCACAAAAAGCAATCCAAAAATCGTTCATCAACCATGGAGGTATCTCCACAATTAAGGAATCTCCTACACTTTGATTATTGAACCACTCTGGAATTTTACTTCCAGGTATTAAAATTTCAAAAGGGAGAAGATGCCGAATCAGTTCAGGTACCTGTACCATTTATAGATTAGTAACATGATTATTTATTATTGTTATAGCAAACAAAGAGAGACAAAGAGACATAGAGAGAACCTTAAAGAAACTCCAATCCAGAGCAATCCAGAGGATTTGAAGTATTATACTATCATCGCAGCCATCATTCTCAATCTCAACCAATCCAGAGCAATTCAAACAACTCAACGTAACATAACTTCCTTTTTTTATGCTCAACTTTGGCAACATTTTTAAGGAAGTGCAATCGTCTGTGTATATTTCAAAAGGCCCGAAGCCTTCATTATCAGCCGCCAATCCAAAGCGGAGATGGGGCAATTGTTGAAGCCTCTGGCACCCATCCACCCTAAGTGACATAAGCTTAGGAAGACATCCAATGCTTGCGGAAGGCTAACAAAATTGTTTCGACTAAGGTATAATTCTTCTAAAGAGGACAAGCAGCCAATATGAAAGGGAATATCCCCTTCACAAAGACCACAATCACTCACATCCAAATACTTCAAAGACCATAAACCATGTAGCGAACCCAACACAAAAGCCATTCTTTGGAGGCCCCACCAAAACCTTGATTTATTAGGACGGTCCATCTCCCACGACTTTTCTGAGCATCCAACATAGAGCTGTTCAAGAGACTTCAAATTACAAATTTCGCTTGGAAGACCCAGGAGATTTTTACAATTTCTTACATCCAGAAAAGTAAGGCCAACAAGACGTCCAATTGATGAAGGTAATTTCTCAATGGGCGTCCCTCTTAAATTAAGAGTTGACAAATTTTCCATTTGTCTTGAAAATTCTGGAATCTTTTTCAGTTTTGAGCAACCGCTAAGACTGAAAGACACAAGAGAATCCATTTTTACCTCACTTGGAAGACTCTTAACACTTTCGCATCCATCTAGTATTAATTTTGTAAGACATTTGAGATCTGCAACGGACGGGTGAATCTCAACTAAATTCCCACACCATTGAAGATACAACACCTGGAGTTTTGGAATGCCAGTGACATCTGGGGTTGTTGCCAAGTTTCGAGAGAAACTAAGGTCTATGTATTTCAAATTGGGCAAGTCCTGTACAATATTACATGAAAAATAGTAGAATATATAATTAGCAACAGAAACACTTAAACTTTTAGTCTTGTTTTTCAAAAAATTTCGTAAGATGGCATATGGTCAGTAATCTTACAATTCTTTCATCCCAGAGCCCAACTAGTTTGCTGTCCCGCATCTCAAGTGAAACAAGTTTATTCGGTTGAAAATTTGATGGGAGATATTTGGAAGAATACCAATTCCATTTCAGAATTCTTAAGGAATTAGGAAGAATTCTGGGGATTGACATTAAGGAAATGATCACATTATCAACTTCAAGAAATTTCAGGTTAATCATCTTAGAGAATGCTTCACAATTCCAATCCGCCTTTTCAAGTTCTGCCATGCTTAAGGCAATGCCTTGAATTTTGTTAGTTGCCTGTAATAAAGAGTAGAAAAAGGAAAAGTTAATTCCACAATTAAGTCTAATATTGAGTTAAAAAGAAATCATATTTTCGTTAAAAAAAGAAGAAGGTATTTTCTACATAACTTCTTACCGTATTGTTTATTAATACATGAATGATGTCATTAGGATGACACAATCGACTACGTCTACCGGGCTCTTCAGGAGACTCTTGACGAACAATTTCAAATGCCATTTCTTGTATCAAATCATGCATCCCAACAATGTAACCGTTGTTTGAAATATCAATAGTTAAGAGCGACTTCTCAACCAGAGTATTTATCCCACCACAACGGTCACAACTGTCTAGTATTCCAATTACTTTATTCTTGTCCTTCCCCTTAAGGAAAAAAGAAACATCAAGAAATATATTCTTGTTCATCTCATCTAGTCTATCAAAACTGATTTTGAGCAAATCGAAAATTTCTGTCTTAGGAATTTTCCGTAGCTTATCCAATTCATTTTCCCATTCATCTCGATCTCTCTTATACACAGAGCATCCCAAAATTTTAAGAGCTAATGGAAGGCCTCCAGCATAATTTACAAAGCACTTGGACAATTCCCAAAAACCTTCGTCAGGCTCAAATTTTTTAAAGGCATTCAGACTGAAGAGCTCAAGAGCCTCATCATCACCTAATCCCTCAAGCTTATATGATATCTCCATATCATGCTTTTTAACCAACCGTTCATCTCTAGTTGTAATGATGATTATACTCCCCTTACCAAACCAATCCTTTTCCTTAGCAAATTTCCCTAGTTGGCTTGATGCATTCACATCATCAAGAATGAGAAGAACCTTTTTATTACATAAGCAATTCTTAATGAAATGGGTCCCCCAGTCTTCATTCAAAACTTGAGTAATTTGTTCCTTCAAGATAGGGAAAAGAAGCTGTCTTTGTAGATCAACAAGACGATTACCTTCAAAAGCCTCTCTAACATTAGCAAGAAAGCAGCTAACTTCAAAATGAATAGAAATGCTTTCATAAACAAGCCTAGCAATGGTTGTCTTGCCAATGCCTGCCATCCCCCATATCCCTACAAAGCGAACATCATCTGTAGGATCTAAAAGCAAATCCATTTGCTCACGTGTAAACTTAATTTCCCACTAACTCTGTGGAATCTAACAATTTGAATGTGCGATGCACTTTCCCCCACACCCATTCAACATTCTTTTCAATGAGCTTTCTTTCACACCTACAAGGAAGAACAATGATTAAATCAAAAGTAAAAGCCATAGATATAACAAGGTCTAAAGGTACATAAAAGTTGCTTACTCATTGTTTGAATCCAACCCAGATAAATTGGCAACTTCTGTTAAAGTAGCTCTCCAGCGCTTCACCTTTTCTATGTCTTCCCTAAACCTTTTCTCATGCTCAGTAAGGGCGCCTGCAAAACTGCCACTTGTTTTCGTACATCCGAGGGATCCACATTATAAAACACAGGCAGAACCGTGCCCTTGGATTTCATGCATTGGAGAATATTTGTAAGTTCATCCAAGCACCAGGAAGAAGAAGCATAGTTTGGCGAGAGAACAACGATAGCAAGCCTTGATTCTTGGATTGCATTAAGGAGCTCTGAAGAAATGGCTGTCCCTCTTTCAAGCTTTGGATCATCCTTGAATGTTTTAATGCCCCTGTGCTGCAATTCGTGGTATAAATGGGACACAAAGCTTTTTCGAGTGTCTACACCCCTGAAACTCAAAAACACATCGTAGTTCCATTGACGAGGAGCCGACTGATCACCTGAAGGAAGAAAAGCAGATGCTCTTTGGGTGCTCAAGGCCATTGGTAATCTGCTGCTGCTGCCGCAAACACTACTCAATGAAAAAAGAACTTCACTAATTCAAACACTCAACTGAATAAATACAAAGACGATCATAAATGGCTTGAAAACTGAAAAGGATTGAAATTTGAAGAGATTTTCTTTTTTAGTTGGTAAATGAAGTTTAATAAACCTGAGGAAAAATATGGCGTTGAAGGAATATAAGCAACAAAACAAGTTTCGGGGAAATTTAGATAGTCTCGAACATGTATTTTGTCATGGTGTTAATTTGGATCATCTTAGCAAGCATGTTAATTTGGATCATCTTATATGTTATGTCATCATACTTTCAATGTATGGTCCATGTAACAAAAGATAACAAATATCTAACAAGAGAACATGTTACTTTGTACTTCCAATTCAGCAGAGAGAAACAGAGAAATTCAACTCTAAAGAAACAAAAACTGCACATATGATATGAGCACAACTCTAAAGAAACAAAAACTGCAAATGTTTTATCTTAATGTTACCTGAACAAAGCAATTGCGAAATGGAGACGAAGCAAGGCAGCAGCTTTAGCTTAATGTTACAAATCCAGAGAAAATTGGTAAGACGACAACCACAAGACCAGCAAGTCAACCACAAACTCACAAAAATGCAACTTCTTAAGATCAGCCAAGAAACCAACTTCATGTCAGACAAGTTCTGTTGACTATCGGTCCAATTATTTATTTTTATTCTTGGTGCGGTGTGAATTTTTTATTTTATTTTATTCTTGGTGTGAGAAAAGGAAGTTACTTGATATTTCCCTCAGGTTCAATCAATAATATAAATTTTTTGCTAAAGCATCAAGGATTTTCCCTTTTGGCATGAAATCCCCACCTTCTACAAAATTAGTTGAATACACGTGATTGTCTGTCTGTCACGGCTTATTAATATTCCTAATATTTGAATCCCTTAATCAAATTATGCATGATTGTAATCATTCCCACCTGCTAATGTAGATGCTAATAACTAGATCATGTCCCAATGGCATCAGGTTTCACCTTCTTTTCTTGAAGAATTCTTTACCATATGTAGTGAATTGCTTGTGCCTCCTTATTATTGGGGTATGAAATGAGAGGATGTGGGGTGGATGTTTTTATTTTTTTTCTGGGTGTAATTGCGGCTACGGCTCTCTTTGGTAAAGGCCAAGAGCTATTTGACCAATTGACACATGAGGACTCTAAGGACTTTTTGAAACAAGTTTTTATGGATGTATGCGTGTAATTGTAATTCTATTGTGGTTGCCCATCTTAAGATGGCTATTTGATGCCTGATTTTTCTTTTGGTTTTACTGGCTGCGTGCAGTCACAGCTACTGCCCCTGGGTACAAATCAAAGACAACAGGTATCTGGTTGGACAAAGCAGGCACAAATGTAGATTTTGTTCTTGACCCTAATGCCAATCGAAGAGGAATTCCACTTCGAAGCGCATGAGGATGCAGATGGGGCACCAGGAGTGTCATTTGGGATACCCCTTTGGAAGTATACTTGCTTTTGATTGTTATTGTAGGATTCCTTTTGCTTTTTATGCAAGAGGAGGACATACAGCCGATTAGGCAGTTGGTAGGACCAAAAAGGCCAGTTGTGGTTTGAGGATTGATTTTCAACTTGTATGGATGTCCTTTATTTTTGGTAGTCGGAAGGAAGCTTCATTTTCGTTAAGAAGAAAGAAACCGGACGATCATAAAAAGACAATAACAAAGAAAAGCCTTCTTCTAACACTGGAAAAAGAAATACCACTATACTAAAAAGTTAATTATTTTGAACATGGGGATACAATGAAGCACATAGTAGCGCTCCTGTATTTTCAAAATGTTTCTATGTACATACATAGCCCTACTCGAAAAGAGTGTGGATAATTGGCGTCTAATAAACAGGGGATCATTTCTCATCAAATCATTTGCATAGTCTTAGGGCTGTGCCTGTTCTTACTTTCAAGATTAATTGGTAGAACTACTACCTCTACGCGCATAAACATTTGCTTCTTCTTGGAGCATTTGCATAGCAATCTTCATCCTCTTCCCTCTCATACTTCACCCACTAATAAGCTGCCTGCCACAAGAACCTGTTTGTGCCTAATAAATCACGGCCATGAACTGACCGAAGGAGCCCCCTCTTTCTCGGCCCTAGCACTTACTCGAGAAACTAAAACGCGGCGTTTCGCCAAGATGTTTGGCCTTCCTGAAAACAAAAGAAGAAAAGTTGCCAAGGCACGATCATCTCGGCCTCGACTATAGGCCGAGGCCGAGGCCGAATAAAATCACGGCCAAAGGTATTAAAGTCAGATCATCACGTGACAGCAGGGTGCTGAGGCCGAGGCCGAATAAAATCACGGCCAAAGGTATTAAAGTCAGATCATCACGTGACAGCAGGGTCCCACGCTTCATTTAATGAAGCAATGCCTCTATTTATTGCAGCAAACCCACTGGCCACGAATAAGCATTTAATGCACGAGGGAAGGTGGGAAGTGACTGAAGTCAGAATTTGGCGACATAAAACAGAGTGATTAGACGCAGACATTCTCACAAGGGTTCTTGCAGCTTGAGAGATTAGGTGACCAGCTATCAGAGCAATAAATGCGTCCCCACGGCCAGAAGCGCAGAACCCACGATCAGGGCGGCGGCCGAGATTCACCAGGATTTATGGGGTCACACCACCATACTTCACGATCCCAAATGTCAATTGGACTACCCACTTGCTCTAATCAGGCTCCACCATGCAGATTTTCAGCCTCGATTACTCCTCCAAGAACTCTTCCTATAAATACAAGGCTCAAGACTACATTCAAATGGTTCAAACACCAAACCAAAGCCTCCCACGGAGCAACTTATATTTTCCTGTAATGCACTTTCAATATCTTTACTTGCTTTCCTAGGAGTAGTGTTAGACTGTAAGGAAAATCCATTCATCAATATATTATACGACCCTTGATTTTCAAGGCGTCGGAGCACCATCTTTGTTATTCGCTCATTCACCCCATATATCATACGACCGCCGCTCACTGAGCAGCGCGCCGGAGCACCGCCCGAAACCCACCATCAACACCACCACTAAACGGCCTTGTAGCTCAGGCCGTGAACCTGACAGCCGAGATTAGTTCCTCTCTCGGCTACAATCGTTTGATCAGAAGACGAGTTCAAACAGGCGCACCACTTAACCATTTCCATCCACATCAATATCTCGACGCACGGTAGACCGTGCTGGCATGTCCGCGCACAACCGCACCGCATTCAAAAGCAGGAAGCCGCGTGTCAACGCATATCCCCTCGGCCCGGAACTCCAGGCTGTGAGATTTGCGCGGTAGACAGAACCAAAGCAATGCCTGCCTATTAAAGGGGTAAGGTGTAGGGTAAACAAAACTTCCCGCTCATGAAATAATGGTAATTATCTGTAATAAATTGTAGTGTTGTATGAACCTCATCTACCACCATTGGAAAATTTGGAACCGAGCTGTTGTCTCCACTGTTTTGTTTTAGTTCTGTCTGGCAATTCGTGTTGTTAGCACTGTTACCTGTTCCAGGTAGTCCTCTGGTTTATTTTTATTAGGACTAAAGCTATGCAATCTTTTCTCTGCAAGTCAAACTAATAGCACCAATTGTCTCATTAACATGTGAGCACGAGCTTGCTAAGATTTTGAATAAGTGGCATGTTTCTGTATGACCAATTCACACATTTCTCTCTCTATTTGTGGAAAACTCTATTCAAAGTGGGTAGGTACAAGGTCACATTCTAAGGTACATGAGACCAAAGTCTAAAATATCAAGAGTTTCGGAAATATCGGTGGTCCAAAAATACGGAAATATCGATGGAAATATCGAAAAAATATCGATATCAATAAAAATCACAGAAATTGTGAGAAAAACTTGGAAATTTTTATTGAAACTTTAGAGGATGTTTATTTAGTCAATTGTCTATTATTTTATCACAAAAAATTGGAATAAAATGCATGGCATGGTGGGTTTGAGTGATTTAAGTTGATTATGTAGCGACTTGACAAACACTGTCTTTATAAAATATGTAGTAATTAGTGAAAGAAAATTAGACACACCATAATTTTTTAGTTATAATAATTTACTACAATATATTACATATGATAAGATATATGAGCTTGACAAAAAAAAAAAAGAAAAAAAGAAAAAAAGAGCAACTTAGTACCACATAGAAAGAATTCCTATTAAAGTTAAAACTTCACATATAATGAACAATATTAAAACTCAATAGTGAATAATATTACAACTCCATAATATATAACCCAAAAAAAAAAAAAATACAACTCCATAATAAAATAATAAATAACATTAAACATATGCCTAAATTTATCATTATAGGGATTTTTTTTTCTTTTTTTATGGAAATTTATCCTAGATAATATTAGCTTGCAGAAATTTTAAAGACCATATAAATATTACACGTCGTAGCTTTTGTTAACAAATTGAGTCGCAGTGTGTTGGATAAGGCTGAGTAGTTGGATGAGAAAGAGAGGGGTTCAAATCCCCTCTTGTGTGCAAAAGCGCAATTTCTCAACCATTTTCATTTATTTTTCAGTTTCATATCGCGATATTATCGATATAACCGGAATACCGAAACCGTGCCAATCTCGTGCCGTCCCGTTTGGTGTTGATGTGTAAACGGGATGATACCGTGTCATCCCGGTTGGTGTCATACCGTACTGAATAGTATATGAGTTTTATTAATCCTAATTTAATTTCAGTTCTACCCTACTCTGACTCCACATATATTTTGTTTTGTAAAAGTCTATGTGAGAGATTTCCATTTCTTGCTTTGTAATTTGACATGTCTTGAACTTGAACTCTTGATTGATTGTTTGTTTTGTTTGTTATTAGGCTTGATTTAGTGTAAAAGCCTATATGAGATTTGATTTCCATTTCACTTGAACTTTGTATGAGATTTCCATTTCTTGGTTGGTCTTGAATCAAGACTCTTGATTGTTTATTTTGTTGTATTACACTTGATTTATGAAAAGTTAACCATATCGATCCCGCTTGGGTCTGGTATGATTTGAACGTGTTTTCAAAAACTCACATCCCGTGTCATTCCATACCGATTCTCCTATTCGGGATTGACACCGGGATGACCTCCATCCCATGTCATCTCATATTGTGCCAACCCCTACCTTGCATGAGATTGAGGCTCGTCAATGGGCCCGGCCCAAATTTAATGGACTTGGGCCGGGCCGGGCTTTAAAGAGGAGAGAGAAAATATCGGGCCGAGTCGGGCTGGTTTTTTTTAGAAAATTCAAAGCTCAAGCCCGACTCATGGGCCGGGCTTGAGAAAGCCCATCGGGCCAGGCCGGGCCGAAACGGGCCTACTTCAATTGAAAAATATCATAAACTTAATCATAAGGGCATTTTAGTCCAAATTTGAGATTAAACTCACTTAATTTCAATATTTTCACATCAAACCAAATTCATAAAACACCTAATAAAGTCACATAACTTAATACGATTTTCCACAAAAATAATAAAACCAAGTATTATTTTTGAGGTTATTACATAATTAGACCGTATTATGTTTTAAGAAATAATTTTAAAAAATAATAAGTATCAAAAAAATATATTTTTAAAGGATGGTATGAATAAATATTCAAATATTTGGTGATGTGTTCAAGAAAAGCATGATTATATTTGGTGGTACGATTATGTTTCGTGATATGATTATATTTGGTGATATGATATGTTGTTCATCTTATTTATTTATATATATATATATAATTGTTGTATTAATAATTGACACAAATTAATGTGCTAATCATCCAATTATAAACTAGGAATGAGTAAAGAAAAGTAAATGAAATGAAACAAATTATATATGTGATTTAAGTGATATAATCATAATCCTAAACTCTTATTTATACATAATTATATATGTAAATGGGCCTAACGGCCCGGGCTAGGCTTTCTTGGGCTTAACCGGGCCAGACCATCTCAAAGCCCATAATGGACTAGGCCGAGCTTTTTTTCAATGGGCCGGGCGGGCCCCCATTGGCCCATGAGCCCACGGGCCAAAAAATGAGGCCTACATGAGACCCACTCCTACCCCATAAATATAAGGTATGAAAGTAGCCAAAGAGAGAAGAGAACCCCATCTAATCTAAGTGGTGTTCAATTCAATCACAATAAAGACTAATAAAGGATCCAGTCACTTATTGTTGTATTGAGTAAGTATTAGGAGAATTGTTATGCTTGAGAAATCTTGCGTTTGCTATTTGAATTAGCAATTAGGTGTTGGTTCACATAAGAAAGAACAAATAGTATAGAGGAAGAATTTCTAACTTTGGCATAGAGGAAGAATTTCTAACCTTTTGCATATATGAAGAAATTCTGACATTGATATCAACATGTAAATTCTAAGTTTTGCATATATGCATCTTTTGAAATTCTTGAAGCATGAGTTGAGGTAGGTGGTTGTTATTGATATTAATCAAATTCTTTGTGTTTGCATACAAATAAAGAGTCAATTATACATAAACTCAGTGGAATTTATAACTTTAACAACAACAAAAAGCCTTTGGTTTTGGGGGAAAATAAATATACATGTCAATTTGGTAATTATAATAACAAAAAAACTTACATTTAATTATTTAAAAATTATTATTTTTAAACATTAAAATTATTATTTTTTAATCCGACACAGCACCAAACATAGGCCTTCTCTATTTTTACAACCCAACTTCTTAGTCCGACGCAGCACCAAATGTAGGTCAGTACTTAATCCAGTTTAAGCCAATCCGAGCTCATCTAAGATAGTCACAAGATTTAGTCCAGTCCATAACAGTCCGCCATACCAGATGACCCCTACTAGTTCAGCTCCATAAGCAAAGGACCTACATCTAAAACCACAATAACAGCTAATCTTTTTGGATCTAGATCTAAGAAGCCCTTAATTTATTGAATGTTTGAGGAACCTTGCTTATCTCTTGTATTGTTAAATTCCTGCCAAAAGAATTCCTTCAAAGAAAAAATAAACCAACCTGCAACAACAACAATAAGCAAAAAACAAAGCCTGATTATGCACAGAAAAAAGCCAGTTATGCTAGTTTCAGGTTGACATTTTATGACATAAGGCCATCTCCAATGCAAGGACTCAAACCCAAATTATCCCCCAAAATCTCTCCCAACCCAACAAAATGAAGGACCCAAAATTTGGGAAAACCCAAATTTGGACCCAAATATGAGTCCAAGTATTGCCTGGACCCAATACTGTTTGCTGGACCCCACGCTGAGGTGGCTGAGGCCATGTGATTCTGAAAATTGGTGGGACCCGCGCTGGGGCAAGCTCTAATGGGTTTGTCTGCTGCCCATGCCACGTGTCGGCGCCTGGTTTTGTAGCCGTTGCAATTCAAATGGCTACTTTTTTTTATTTTTTATTTATAAACAAATCTGAAGTAACTTTAAAAAGGTTGGGCCCGCTGTTGGCTCATTCCAACCTTAAAAGTGCCGTTGCAAATCAACTATTCCCTTTTTTTTTATATTTAAATTCTAATAGTAACTTTAAATTAATGATCTAGATTAAATCTAAGTTATTTTAACGGCAAAAAAAAAAAGATCCAACGGCTAAAATTTAAATCCAACGGTCAAAATAATATTTTAAATTAATCCAAATCAAATCCAACCCCAAAACTCACTCCAAACTCTATAAATACCCATCCATTTCTCAATTAATCTACCAAAAACATTTTTTCTATTTCTCAATTTATTTTTCCTTTGTCAATCTCATCAATCTCTTTTCATTCTTGTTGAAGATGTCCACAAAATCTTAAAGAGGTGTGAATTGGAGGCCTGAAGAAGATGAGGCATTGTGCAAAGGGTGGGTTTCTGTCTGTGAAGATGGGGAATCTTAATGATAATAAGCCTCCAAATAGGCCTTTCAAGTTGTACCATGCTTGGGAAATCTTAAAAGATTGCCCAAAGTAGAACGATATAAATGAGCCTCCCACGCAACGTTCTTTTGGAGCTAGTGCAAGTATGGTGAATTTGGATAACGATGCAGATGAAATCACCATGCCTAGTCCAAGGCTTGAGGGGCGAGATAAACAAAAGACTGCAAAAAAAAAAGGGAAGATGGCTGACACTTCTCAACAAAAAAGGGATAAGTACTTGGAAACATTGGTGGAGCAAGGTACTGCTTTCGAGGAGGATAGGAGATGAAAGCTCAACACATTGGACAAGTTTGTCCAAGATCAAGCTGAAGCTTATGCGTATCAGAAGCAACAAGATAAGGAAGCCCAAGAACAAAAAATAATGTCCATGGACGTGTCCAAATTTACTCCAAGAAAGAAGAAGTATTAGGGGGATAAACAAGATGAAATTATGCAAGAATATGCAGAGGGTCAACAGTCTACCGTTAATCCTGAAAACAACTCAGGGGACTATTATCCAAGCCCCCACGATGGTGGTTATTAGTTTATTCCTATTGGCATTCATGTATGGTGAATTTGAAGTATTGTGTGTTTTCTTTTAGAATTTTGTTGTGTGTTTTCTTTTGAAATAAAATTATATTTGTGGAATTTTAATTTTTTTAGGTCAAATTGTTCAAAAAATTTAATTATGAAGTTATTTAAAAAGATTGAATGAAGAAAAGTTATCCATAAAATAAATAAAAAATTAGACTTAAACCATTTTTAAACAATTTAATAAAGTTGCGGACTTAAAATTTGGGTTCGGAGGGTTGGGAGAAAAAACGATTTGAGTCCGGGCAAAACCCAAATAATCACTTTTTGGAGGGGGAAAATTTGGGTTTAGCCCCTCATGGGTTGGAGATGGTCTAAAGGAGAGCCAACTTGTTTTGGTTTTAAAGAAGCCCGGCCAACGTCTCTACAAATACAACTGTTTTTGAAGCTGACTTGTTTCCTTTGTTTTTGATTGATTCGACTAGAGAGAGCAACACTTTCCTTTTTTAGTAAAGGGTTTTAATGCCCTGGTCTGCTGCTCACCTTCCAAAATAAAGGAAAGGCTTAAAACAGCCATTACAATTTGACCCACGTGGCTTCCTAAAGGCCGAGTAAACTAAAACACGCAGAGCAGATGTATACGTCCAACTAAATTAGGTCCAAACTGTTTGCCCAACTAAATTAGGACCTGCGATATGCTTTGCACATGCGGTGGATAGCGATAGCTTAATTACCGTGTCGCAGTGAACACAAAATGAAATAATTGTCGGAAAATATTGTTCTTATTCATGCACGAGAGATATTATGTGATTGTTGCAAGCTGCAAGGGAATTATTAAACACCTCCTTTACTTCCTTCATTTGTATTAGTATTTTCGCATGCGTTTTCGCGCAAGCGAGAGGTTTTTTCTTTTTAAAATTTAAATTTATTTTAGAATTAAAAAAGAAAATGTTTAGTTGTATTCCATAAAAAAGATAAAGATAATGCACAGTCTATATAACTTTGTTCCATCAACTTCAATCAATCAGGGAAAAATGACTCAGATCTTGCATATCTCCACAACCACGGTCAGACCAACAACTCAGAACGATCAATTAACAGCTCCTAAAATTGAGTTAACTCCATGGGATCTGAGACTAATTCAAGTTGATTACATTCAAAAGGGGATTCTCTTCCACAAATCAGCAGAGACAGAAGACAGCAATGTCAGCTTGGTACAACGCCTAAAAGACTCTCTTTCCCGCACCTTGAACATCTTTTACCTGCTTGCTGGCCGCCTGGTTGTATCTGAAAATGCTGAAGACATCACTGTTTCTATCTCCATCAAGTGTAACGATGCAGGAGCCGAGTTGCAGTTGCTGACGGCGTCAAGGTGGCTGATATCCTTAACCCTTACATTCCTGATCACGTCGTCTTCAACCTCTTTTCCTTAAATGAAGTTCAAAACTACGAAGGAGTTTCGAAACCACTTCTATCAGCAAAAGTGACTGAGCTTGTTGATGGCATCTTTATCGGTTGCAGCCTAAACCACGTGGTTGCCGACGGTACTTCTTTTTGGCATTTCTTTAATACTTGGGCAGAAATCTCTTGTTCTGGCTCCCATAAAATTTTGCAACCTCGTCCCATTTTTGGCGACAATTTCTTAGCGGGGTAATTGATATCCCAGTTCACTTACCCTTCTCCTTGTTGGTCCCTTTTCCTGTTGAGTATTCTTTTCGCCTAATGTCGTAGTAGGCCTGCTCGGAAGAACACAGGAACTGTTAGACCTACACCAATGCCCCGATTGTCTCTTTTTGGCCCACGCAGATGTTATTTCAATATTCAGCGAGATTGAAAGTTGAATCAGGTTGATAAGAAATCCAGTCCAGCCCTATCTTGGGCCTAGCCTCTGAACTTCTTCTGGTTCATGAGTTCTGCTTTATAGGCGTGCCACTGTTGGATGTATGACCAGTCCAACAGACCTGGTATGAGCGAGTGTGGTTAGTATTTCGTGGAGTCTGCGCCTTCTTCCTGAACCTCTGTTCAAGCCATTATGCACCAGGTGGGGTACTGGCCTGGCTTGGTTCTTTTCTATGCCCCAGTTAAGAGGACTTCAAAATTCTTTCTCTCGTGTATATGTCGGCTATGGTTGGTGCGAGCAACACCTATCCAAGCAGGGGAAAAAGACAAAGTTCTTGGTCAGCAAACACCTCGTGCGGGTTTACAGACCTAAATCTGAATTTAAATATATATATATAATTTAACCACAATTTCGGGCCCAACTGTGTGACTTTCGGGCCCACTTGGTTTGTATCCCTCAAGCCTATGTGGCCCGATTCGGGCTAGAAACCTTTCGTGATATTTTCAGTTCAAATAAAATGAAAGCGGGAAATGGCTTAAATATTGCAGATATGGAAATGGAAACAGACATAAGCATAACAGAGCTCTTTAGATATGGTTTCCATCTTTCTCATTTACTCAATTCTTAAATTAATGACAGAAACAGTAGAGATCCATGCTTATTAGTTCCAAACTATGAAATACATTATCACGATGATCTAAGGTTCATAGCCGACTAAATTATACAAATTCAAACTGAACATTTTCAGAAGTTAATCATACCATGGAAATGGCAGAGAAATAAAAAGATGAACACAAAGATCGTCTGGCTATCTGAAGTCGGAACGAGATAATTGGAATGCCTTGAGTGCTTTTTTGAGTGTTTTACAAGACGTTGCGTCTGGTTTTGGAGAGAGTGTCCCCTTCTACTGTGCTGGAAGCTCTCTATTTATAGGAGCAGAAGAGGTCTTAAGTGATGATGATTGAGCAAGGATATTTGGCTATTGCCCAAAGTCAGCTTGCTGACTTGACGTCCTGAATTGGTCCATAGAGGGGGAGATTGATCTTTCTGATGAGAACCGCGAGTCCCTCGAATCAGTTTCCTGGTTTGAAGCGTTTTCGTACTTGGCGATTTGATGTGCAAGTTGGCTTCTTACTTGGTTTGGTGGCTTCCTTAGGCGGCTGGCTTTTCTTAATGGAAGAGGGAAAAGTCAAATCGTCATTAAATGTTGATGGTCCTTTTCACCTTCGCGTGGGTTTGGAACAACTTCTGATTTCCCATTTTTCAGTAGTCCAATCGCTTTGGGCCCTCTGCTCTTGGGCTTTGGTTTTTGTCTTGGTGTTTATTTTAAACAAGAAAAGTCTTCCTGAAAAATATAATCCATAGACAACTATTGGGCTTGGGCCCTTGCCGTGCTCCTTTTTTGGGGAGGTAACCACTTTTGGTCCATTGACCAAAATTGGGTACAAACACTCCTACAGTGAAATCATTGGTAAGCCTATAATCAAATCGTCTTCTTTCGATGCTTTCTTACGAGGGTCAGGATCTAGTGAGAACGCTTATGTGAGAACATAACATGAGAACACCGTTGGATCCAATCTAACGGCTGTATGAAAAGCAATTGTAAGTGTAAGTGTTGTATTAGAACGAGGCCTTCTTCTCTCTTCTCCCTCCAAAACGTCCCCTCCAAAATAGAAGTCCCCTCCAAACCAGCTGTTCGCTCAGTTCAATGAGGAGGCCATTTTTTTATCAGCTTTGATTGAGGAAGAACTGTAACATTGAAGAGAGAGCACCCTCATTTTTTTGGGTTTCCCATTCAGGCGAAAGAAACAAAGGAGTCTTGGATTTTAAAATTTCATCTTTGTGGTTGGGTTTTTGGGGTCGGGACATACGTCAATCCTTGAGCAACGTCGAAACTGGCGTTGAGTTTGAAAGTGCTGACCGTACCGTTGTGGTTCTGCTCTGTTGGTTTTGAAATCCTTGAGCGGGGGCGAAACAGGGGTTGAGGAAGAAGAAAAGTTTTTGGGGTTGACGTCCATATCTAAAAGGGCTACGTTACGTTGTCATAGTTGTTGAAAATTTGAAGTTGGAAATCAGTTACGAGGTAAGCCATATAGTGTATTTGTGAATTTCATTATTGGGCATCAGCATGAGTCAGATTAGGTTGTATGTATGTCTTTAATGTTTCAGCGGAGAGTCATTTGCATGTCATATGTTAGTTAATATATATTGTCCTTCTGTTTGAAAGCATGTGCCAAATATTGGGCATCAGCATGAGTCAGATTAGGTTGTATGTATGTCTTTAATGTTTCACCAGAGAGTCATTTGGATGTCATATGTTAGTTGATATATATTTTAAAGCTGTTTGAAAGCCTGTGCCAAATATTGGGCATCAGCACGAGTTACGTTAGTGTGTATGTAGGTCTTTAATGTTTCACAGATAGTGATTTTAATGTCATATATGATGGTGGTGATGTGATATTCAGGGTTAAATTGCAAGAACTGTGAAATGGAGTGCGAAGGACAGGTGACACCGGAAGTTAGTTCGGAATTGAAACCAAAATTGGGACTTGAATTTGATTGCTATGAGGATGTGTTCAATTTCTATAATATGTATGCCACGAAAGCTGGATTCGGCATTTGGTGTTCTACAACGAGAACTTGCACATTCACAGGAGAGGTAACAAGGAAAGAATATGTATGCTGTAAACAAGGGTATGCGTTGACAAGCACTGTTAGTCGTAAGAGAAGACAACGAGGTTGTACTCGAACTGGGTGCAAGGCTAAACTTGCGATTTTGAAGGTAAACGAGAAGAATAAGTACATTGTTGTAGGATTCAATGAGGTACACAACCATGACATGACCACAGTTGATAAAGTCCATCTATTGAGATCTCACCATAACTTAACAGAGTCTACAAAGGCCTATAGTGCACATATGAGCAAAGTTAATATCCCTGTACATAAATAGGTAAGCCTTCTTGAGGTGCAAGCAGGGGGATTGGAAAATGTTGGGTTTGTTAGGAGAGATGTGTATAATTATGCAAGGGACGTGCGTGGGGAGGTGATTGGGCATGATGCAGAGCTGCTGAAGGAGCTTTTTTTGGTTGAGCAAGGAAAAAATGAATCATTTTATTTCAATATGGAGGTAGATTCGGAAGGAAGGATGAGAAATATTTTCTGGGCAGATGCAAGATCAAGACGAGCTTATGAGTTTTTTGGGGATGTGGTGGTATTTGATACGACGTTCAACACAAACTGCTATGGGATGGTCTTTGCGCCTTTGTTAGGCGTTAATAACCATAGGCAGACAGTGTTGTTTGGTTGTGCATTCCTAACTAGTGAAACCACGGATTCATTTGTATGGTTGTTGGAAGAATTCAAGAAAGCCATGCCAGGTGAGCCACCCAAAATGATCATCACTGATCAAGATGCAGCCATATCAAAGGCAATTGCTTTAACTCTCCCAACAACATTCCATAGATATTGCATATGGCATATCTTGAATAAGTTTATGGAGAAACCCGGCATTGGGGAATGTTTTTCGGAAATGTGCAAATGCATATGGGGTATGGACACGAAAGAGAAATGGGATGAAATCGTCACAAGCAATGGGCTGAAAGACCATCCGTGGCTGAGCTCGATTCATGCTTTGCGGGAAAATTGGGTTCCATCATATGTAAAACATGTGTTTTCGGCTTGGATGTCAAGTAGTCAACAGGCTGAAAGCTGTCATGCATTTTTCAAACAATATATTAACCGGAAAAACACATTGATGGAATTCATTGTATGTTTTGAAAAAGCTCTGGGTTCATAGAGGCACAAGGAGTTAATGGCTGATCATGTTGATACCAATGAAAAACCTCCACTGCCATTTCGAACACGCATTT